TTGCCGATGCTACTTCTGTAATATCTTTGTCTCTGTGCTGTTTCAGATTTCTCAGCTCCTCTTCTAATCTCTCTATCTTGATTTCTGCTGCTGTGGCCTGTTGCTTCCACCTTCTGCATTCTGCTGCTAACCTCTCTTCCATCTTCCTTTCCAGCACATCTAGTCTCCTTCCCCAGTCTTCCTCCCTTTTTTTGAGCTCTACCTCCCATTCCTCCCTCCCAGAATCAACTATGAGACTGGATAATAAACTGCTAGAGTCCTAACATTGTAGTAATAGTAAGACTAGCGTGCTAAAATAACCCGAGGATTAAGACGCAGAGAGACTATTTAAGGATAAAATTCATACAGCATACTCAAAAATGTATAAGCATCATATATAACTGCTTAGAGTGGAGACCTCTTTATTTCTCTCTCTCTCTCTCTCTCTCTCTCTATATATATATATATATATATATATATAATATATATATATATATATATATATATATAGATATATATATATATATTAATATATATATATATATAATACATAATGTGTTTGACTAAATTAGTTCCTGGATGGGTTATTTATATAAAGATTATTAGGACCAAGTTCAAAGGATGGTTGGCTAATTGGGCTTCAAGTCTGTCGACACACGAAGGTTATTAAGCTTTCACCTTCTCACCATCAGTTAAGAATAATGTAATCCCAAATGTGGATGAAAGTGTATGAAGACCTCCACGTGTACATGCACTATCTTAGTGCACACTCCTCTAATATTATAAATATATTCCACAGAATATATAGTGCTGAGTTGAAAAAACTTTTATTTTTCCGTTATTATTATTAATAAAACTTTTAATGACCACATAATTCTGCGTAAATGTGTCACATACTGTGCACTACTTTTATCTAAAAAATTACAGTGTCAGGGTTAATGTTATTCCTATCAGTACATCACTAAAAGAAGCATATATTTTCTGGAATCTGTTCTTGATAACACTGAATTTTCAATATTAAATATACTGTACAATTAAATAATAATATAATGAATACCTCTTACGAAGCAGCAGCAGCAGCTGTAGTAGCTGCAGCCACTGGGAAAGAAGCAGTAGAAGCTGCAGAAGCCTTGGCAGCAACTCCCGCAGCAGGAGCAGTGCCAGTAACAGTAGCAGGAGACAGGTATTATCCTGGAAGAAAAACGCAAGACATAAGCTGGAAATTTGGACTCCGTAACATTCCCAACATTCGATAAGTTAAACAAACGCCCAAAAGTCTGCCAAAACTCCCGGGATCTCCATTTCAAAGCCTTCCTTCCGTTCGCCGCACCGTCTATCCTCTCAACACAGCCTCGAGACATCAAACACAACTTGAGGGATATATTTCTGAATGCTTTTCTCTGTCCCTGCTCTTGGCTGTCTGTTTATATCTTAGTCATCTCTCTTCCCTTTCATTCTCTTGCTCTTTTTTTGCGGAGCCTGACTCAGCATTTTTCTTGTTTCGTCGTAAATCTCTTTTCTATTGATATCGTGTTTCCTCTATCTAGTTTCTTCTGATGCTGATTCTGCGTTTAAAAAATAAACTAGCTACTCTCTCTGTGTTTGAATTTGGTACTCGACATCTAAATTACTGAGAATAAGCATAACCACAGAAATGAAAAACCAGTAGAGTACTGGTACGCACGTAAGTCAAACACGTAATCCTTCGCAAATAAAGACAAATATTCCATCACCCTGAAACAATATTCAATACGAAAAATTCAGACCTAGTACAATGTTCTGTTCTTCCGTGACTCAGACTGCCGAGTCCAGAACAGGTTGAGTTATAGCGAGGAACGTAGCTGTCATACAGCAGTAGTAGCTATAACAGAAATAACAGAAGCTTCAGTAACAACAATAACAGCAATAACAGTGTCAGTAGCACTTGTGGTCACTGCTGCTGTGGCCCATAGCAGCACCTATAGCAGAAACAACAGAAGCCTCAACAGCAACACTTGCAGCAGTAGCAGCAGCTATAAGAGAAACAACAGAAGCTTCAACAGCAACACTAGCAGCAATATCAGTGTTGTAGCGCTTGTGGTCAATACTGCCGTGGCCCAAAGAAGCACTGTATTTGCATAACCAGGGGCTTTCTATATAGCATGTCATTGATGTCAGCTAGGTCCGTATGTACTTGTAAAAAAAAATAATAATAATAATAATAATATTATTATTATTATTATTAATTATTATTATTATTATTATTATTATTATTATTATATTATTATTATTATTATTATTATTATTATTATTGCAGCGTATCTTCCATAGCGTCGACACCACCAAACGGGTCATCTTATGACAAGACGTGGTGAAAGGCTTTTGCTCTGACGAATGAACTAGCAAGGACATATTTTGCTGGAAAGATTCGCTTCTGTATCAGACAGACAACAATACATCTTCCGCAACCAATAGAACGAAATATCAGAAACCATTTACGAGGTAAACCAGCAGACGATAAAACACAATTCCGTCTTCCTGATATATTCATGTCACTCCATGTTGCCTTAGCAAGGCGGTGACCTGTATCTCGGACCTTTGAGAAGTAGGATTTTAATACCTACCTTGAGACCATTTAGTGCTTTTTGAATGATAATAATAATAATAATAATAGTAATAATAATAATAATAACAATAATAATTAGAATGACAATAATAATAATGGTGATAATAATAATAATAAGATCATGATAATAAAAATAATAATAATCCTGGTAATAATAAAAAATCATGGTAATAATAATAATAATAATGCCTGGGGGGATATTGTTGTGGCAGGAAACATCGACACCCCCTCATGTCTTGAAGAAGTCCCAGCTGGAGCAAGTCTCTGAGGAGTGCTAGGCTGTGTTACTCGACAAGAGACACAAATGAGATTATCCTTACTTAGTGGTTCTCAGAGTGCCGTATATATATATATTTTATAAAATATATATATATATATATATATATATATATATATATATAATATATTATATATATATATATATATATTACTTCTATTATTTAAAGAAGCGGCCTCGGAGATACTCGTAAACCCCACCAGAGGAAGGATATATTGTATTGCTAGTTGCTTGAAGGTAAATACTGGTGAGTGTGTAGAGCTTCCCTAGTTGTAGGTTATGACGCTGCTGATATTGAGATGGAATAACAATGTGCTGGCTCGTAAACGTCTCTCTCTCTCTCTCTCTCTCTCTCTCTCTCTCTCTCTCTCTCTCTCTCTCTCTCTCTCTCTCTCTCTCTCTCTCTCTCTCTCTCTCTATCTATCTATCTATCTATCTATCTCTCCTTGTCTTATCCATCAGTTGATATCATATAACCATTAGTGACAATTGCTCTCCCAATATCCCCCTCGTTAGTATCATCACCCTCCTCCCCAGGTGAGTCTGGCCCCTCCACAGATGTTACCTGGCCTTTATGTAGAATTACATCTCACGATTGTTCTCTGGGTAAAGTGAGGTTATGTGAATTTATTTGTCTCACTTGCGAACAACAAATTGCCCCATTTTGCATTCGGTTATGTGAAAAAAAATAATTCCGCAACTAATTCATAAATTCGAAATGAAACGAGATGGCGTTTCCGTCCATTCTGGACCATTATCAGACCACGAGTGAATAATATATAATTTTTTGTAACGTTAACCCAAGGGAGAACATTATTAAATATCTTGCACCTTAACGTTAAGTGCAAAGAAAAAGGTAAGTCATATCAGTAATGTGTTTGAAAAATATTTGATTTATTGTCCCTCAACGAAGAGAAACATTGAAATTATCATCAGACAGCAGATCCCTGGATGAGTGACCAGCAAGGTATCAGAGGAGCCTGGGATCTGCAAGACACCACCAATGATAATAGATATCACTGACACAAGGCAACAGTGTGAGGACACGACACATCTCGTGCAGTCGTCCTTAGGAGAAACCTCAGAGTGTCATGTTTTATGTATCCTGGAGAAGAGAAGAAGAACCTGGAATGTGGGTGTCAGCACTTTTTTTTATGAACAAGAATGAAAACAAAGCACTGTGTTCTTACCATGATCCAAGTGACCATTTACAAGCTTACCGCAAGAGGTAACAACGTTAACCTGACACCCCCACCTATCAGAATGATTGTTCAGGCACATGTTGTAATGACCGTCATATATCCAACGCTTCGCTGCGTTACCTGCAAGTTTGACTTCAATTTTCTAGTAGGTCTGGATTATCTTATACACAAACACCAGCATCAGACATGATGGTGCACTATGTCAACGACAGCTGAAGATTCTGTGAAATCACTCCGAGTATTCACTGCTTGTGGAGGCACAAAACAACGATTACTGCTAATTTAGATTTGCAAGAACGGTTTAATAAATATGGGATAAAGCTGAAACCGTACGGGTTATGTAGCACCCGGGAAATAGGAGGTAATCACTAATGATCTTTGAAGTAAAGAACGGTGAAATGTAACTATTTCAGACTAAATGCAAAGGTAATGACAAAGGACATAAACCCACTTCCTATATTGATGTGCACAATTACGTTAAGTAATAGCTGTTTACATTTTTTTTATGGAGCTACGATGTCATAAACAGTTTACACAAATAAATACATTTATGTCGATGTTTGTACGTGTAATTCTCGAAAAGTTCTGGGCGCAGTGAAGAAGTGTGGAGAGAACTAATTAATCAAAGCTTCCAATGACAGCTCAAAAAATCACAAGTAATGGGCCGTAATCTGGGAGACAAGGACGTGAATACAGCCTCTGTACAATATAATGCATGATGTGCCAGGGTTACAACATAAATAGAACACTTTTATATAGGTGAAATGATTCAGCTCTCTTAGGCACTTCAGAACGAGTACAAACCACTCCTCTTCCAGATCATCAGTAAAAATTAGTTGCAAGAGCACGAGCACAGTGTTTCACTCAAAACCTGTACTGAGAAGAAAAAATCATATGACTACGTTTCGGTCCGTCCTGGATCATTATCAAGTCACAA